TACAAGCCGTGTATGCTTTGTATAGGCCCTACACAGGGCGTGTAGGCTCTGTATAGGATCCCGTACAGGCCGTGTAGGCTCTGTATAGGATCCCATACAAGCCGTGCACGGTCTGTAAAGGATCCAGCACAGGCCGTGTAGGCTCTGTATAGGGTCTTATACAGGGCGTGTGCGTGTAGGCTGTGTCCGTATCGGATCCCGTACAGGGCGTGCAGGCTCTCTATAGGATCCAACACAGGCCGTGCAGGCTCTATATAGGATCCCGCACAGGGCGTGTAGGCTCTGTGTAGGAGCAGGCCGTGCAGGCTCTGTATAGGATCCCAATGCAGGGCGCGCAGGCCCCGTATAGGATCCCATACAGGGCGTGCCGGCTCTGTATAGGATCCCAAACAGGCCGTGCAAGCTCAGTATAGGATCCCGCACAGGCCGCAAAACCTATGTATAGGATCCCGCACAGGCCGTGTAGGCTGGCTCTGTATAGGATTACACACAGGGCGTGTAGGCCCTGTATAGGAATCCGCACAGGCCGTGCAGGCTCTGTATAGGTTCCTGTACACGGCTTGCTGGTTTTCTATAGGATCCAACACAGGCCGTGTAGGCTCTGTATAGGACCCCGTACAGGACCTGCAGGCTCAGTATAGAATCCCACAGGCCGTGTCAGGCCGTGTAGGCTCTGTATAGGACCCCGTACAGGCCGCGTCGGCTCTGTATACGATTCCATACAGGGCGTGTAGGCTCTGTATAGGACCCGGCGGATTCCAATGGACTTCCTGAGATTCCCTACGGGTTCTTTTGATTCCGCGTGGATTCCGAAGGATGCCCGAAGGTCGCTTCGCCGGTGCGCACATCGTTTCCTGTCGCAGGAAAACGTGGAGGTGCGTAAGGGTGATCTCAGAGCCACGGTGGCCAGATGGATCCTATGGGTTTCCATAGGGATCCTATGGGATTCCCTATGGTGTTGGTGTTGGTGTTGGTGTTGGTGTTGGTGTTGGTGGTGGGGGGGGACAGTGGGTCCACGGGACCCACCCCGCGACCCACCCGCGACCCACCCGCGACCCACTCCGAGACCCACCCGCGGCTCACCCCGCGACCCACCCGCGACCCACTCCGCGACCCATCTGCGACCCACCCGCGACCCACCCGCGACCCACCCCGCGACCCACGCGCGACCCAGCCCGCGACCCACTCCGCGACCCACCCGCAATCCAACAGGAACCCACCCGCGACCCAACCGCGACCTACCCACATTGGCTTAACGAACAAATTGGCGCCTGCGGCGGGCTCGTTGCATACTTTGTCCAACTTTGACACCTGCGGCGGGCTTCTCCAGAGTCTCGCAGACTGCCGACGTCCCCACCGCCCCCTCACTCTTATCCGCATCTGCGGGGTGATACGTTTATGGCGTTTTTTTCTTCTGCTGAGTGTCTCACCTCGCCAGCCTTGTGTTCCGCGGCAACGAGGCCCACGGAATCCCCAGTTCTCTTCGAGTGTCCCGCCTCGCCGAGCTCCGCCGTGGAGAGGCGTCACGTCATCCGGGCGTCGCGTTTTTTTCACGCCGTCCACAAGCATGTCGGGCAGACATTCGCATTGCACCAAGACGACACATCAATCATCTACACCCTTAGCATACTATTATCACACACCGACGGGATCATCATCCACACGCAATGGAGCACCCTTGCCAGCAACATCGGCCAAGAGCAGACACCGATACTATGCGCTGGTATCCTACACCCAAGGACGTATCAGTACCATGCAACAAAGCACGTAGCAACAGAAGACGTGAAACAAGACACATCATGCACAGTCAAACACGCAGACACCGAACATGCAATAATGTGATGCATACATGGCAAGCAGCACTAGCATGTTATCCTAGGAAGCACCCTGCCATCATGATGCTGATAGGGTCCTGCGAGGTTCCCGAGAGGATCTACGAGGCTCCGGTTAGGTGATTGAGAAGATCGTGGGGGATCTCTCAAATGATGTTGAGAGGCTCCTGAGAGGGTCCTCAAAGCGTCGTGAGAGTTTCCTGCGAGGTTCTTGAGAGGGTCTTGAGAGGCTCCTGAAAGGCTCTTGAGAGGCTAGTGGGAGGGTCTCGAGGTAAGCTGTTGGGAGGGTTCCGAGGCTGCCAAGCGGATCCTCGGATGCGTTATGATGCTGGGGCACATGTCGAATCGAGCAGAACGTCCCGTGCCATCAATGGAGCAATAGTTTTTATTCATGACCAGCGCAAGTGCCGAAGGGACACACATTGGGTGTGTAGTGATGTTGGGAGGATGTTGGCATGGCCGCCCAAGAAACACCCGCCTTCACAAGGCGGGTGACGACGGGGTGCCGGCAGCACGACGGCAGATCCCCCCCGGAGAATTGTTGGATCTTCTGGCAGTTTTGCTGAGGTCCTATAGCGAGACGCTACTGGGGAACACATCTCAAAGCTGCGTCAAGTTCCGGGCGAACATCCACAACAGTCATCACACACATATCAGGAACGCACACCATGATCGCACTACAAGGGCAGGCAACGACATACACGCCAATAGCCGGCAACAACAACCTGGGACCGTACGCCAGTTGCACACACCAACAGCATACATCAGGAGCAGGCATTAAAGCTAAGCGTCCAGAGCAGGCATCAGTATATGCAGCATCATACAACAGTTACGTACCGCACAAGGCAATATCCGTACCATGTCCGCCAAGAGATGTTACTATGCACCCGCATCCATAACGCACATCCAGGACATGGCACCAACCTTCCGCCTATACATACACCAAGGGCATACATCACAAAGAGAGATTTGGTTTCGTACACGCTCTACGCTTGTCAAAATCACATCTAGCCTTGAATGTCATACGAACACCAAGAGCGTATAATAATAACAGGTGCCATTACAATGTTTCAGTATTGCAATCCGACATTTCTTACCTGCCTCAGTGAGTAAGCCCATGCGTTCAGAACAGGCACCAGGCACCCCTATCAAGGATACAAACATAAGGACCAGCATCACCAGCAGCCTTCATCAATACATGCATACTTAAACAGCCAGCGCACATGCATACAGCATACACATGGAAATACCGCAATACCGCCTGACTCGAACGGACACTAGATAGGCACATTTCGCACACGAAACAGCGTGCGGACATACTGCCAAGCGTACAGAACATGTGCAGCAATCATGTGCAGGGCACTTGATATCATATCACTAAAGATCACACGCAATTCACTTCAGCGTTCGCAGCATTTCCCTTGGTTAGGACCGCCCGATGCAACAGTATGCGTTGTCCGTGGGAGACAAGCAAGCACCCACCACACTTTGGATGGACGGCGAGGGTTCAGGGCCGGGAAATTCACCGATGAGGAGTGCCGCCGATTTCCGCGGCCCGCCCGGGTGCCTAGGTGCCTGGATGTCAGGGTGCCCGGGTGCCTTATAGCTCTCTAGCCCTATAGCCTTATAGCCTTACATCCCGATAGCCCTATAGCCTTATAGCCCTGTAGCCCATAGCCCAATAGCCCTATAGCCCAATAGTCCAATAGCCCTATAGCCCTGTAGCCCTATAGCCCTGTAGCCCTATACCCCAATTGCAGAATATCCCTATGGCCCCATAGCCCTATATCCCTATAGCCCGATAGCCCTATATCCTTATCGCCTTATAGCCCTATAGCCCAATGGCTATATATGCCTATAGCCCGATAGCCCAATAGCTCCAAAGCCCTATAGCCCTATACTATCTGTATGGTTCTATAGCCCAATAGCCCTAGAGCCTTGAGCCTTAGAGCCCTATAGCTCTATCGCCCTATAGCCCTATATCCCTATAGCCCTATAGCCCCATAGCCCAATAGCCCTATAGCCCCATAGCCCTATAGCCCTGTAGCCCTATACCCCAATTGCAGAATATCCCTATGGCCCTATAGCCCTATATCCCTATAGCCCGATAGCCCTATATCCTTATAGCCTTGTAGCCCTATAGCCCAATAGCTATGTATGCCTATAGCCCGATCGCCCAATATCTCCAAAGCCCTATAGCCCTATAGCCCTATAGCCGTATGGTCCTATAGCCCTGCAGCCCCATAGTTTTATAGACTCATAGCCCTGTAGCCCTATAGCTCCAGAGCCCAAGAGCCCCCTAGCCCTTTAGCCCTACAGCCCTATATTCATATGGCCCTATGGCCCTGCAGCCCTAGAACCCTGAAGACCTGTAGCCCTATGGCCCTATAGCCCTTTAGTACCATAGCCCTATAGCCCCACAGCCCCACCTCCATATAGCTCAATAGCCCCATAGCCCTATAGTCCTAAAACAACTTGGATTCGGGCTTTTCTCTGGTATCATTTAGAGTTTGGCGATTTGACCGAATAATTGAAATTCGTGTGGCTTTCTTTTGGCGCCACCTTCCTCTGGAGTTGTGGCCAATCGAATGTCGCGTGGTGCTCACCAGTGGACGGCGCAACGCTGCCGAGAGGGGCAGCGCTTGGATATTTTTCTCGACGCCGCGTGTATTCGGTGGTGTGGGGCGTGGTGTGGGGGTGCTCCTCATCTCCGTTCCGCGCACCAGCTGCATCGGGCCCAGTGTGCTCCGCCCTGGTGGCAGAAGTCGAACCTTCCCTAGTCTTTCTCTTTTTTTTTTTTTCTCTCTCTCTCTCTCTCTCCATCGACGCGGGGCGCCTCGGCCCCTGCGACTCCTCATCCGCATCCCCGCCTCCGGCCCAATTGCTGCCGCCGCCGCCGTGAGGCCGCCGTGGGAGAGGAGCCAGGATAGTTTTGATTCAGATTCGTCCGACGAACCCCCTGATGAGGGTATACCTGGTAGTGAAGGTGGTTTGCCAGCCGAGATACACAGCCGCAGCCCCCATGCCGCAAGGCCGATTGCCCGTCACCTGGTGCCATCGTCTAGTGGATTCTGGTGTTGAGTAATTGGACATGCGACTCTCAGTGATGCACGTTCTCGTCACCATAATCTCTCTGACTTGGTGTTCTTTCCGCATGTATCCGCTCAGGGCAATTTGGTCGTCCTCGTCTACGGATTGGTGTGGCTCCTCGAGATATGCGTTCCTGGCAGCACCATGGGCCTGTTGTATCTCAGCGCGCATCTCGTTTGTGGCCTGGCCCTGCAAGTGTTCCTACTCTACTACACGTTCTGCCACTTCCACAAGGAGGCCGCCCTGCCCTGGGTCTGTCTCTCCAGCGGTGAGTCATTATTGGGACTAGTGTTGTGGAAGTCGGTTAATGGAGAGGAAGTATGTTGCCAAATACTTTCCAGATGTTTGAAAATTTGTAAAAGCATGTTGGACACATGTTTAGCACATGTTTTATACACTTTTAAGCACATGGTTAATTCAATGATCGGATTGTTAGCGTGTCCATTGTCGTGGCATCCACAAGACTAGTGCTGATTGCCTCTCGATACCTCAATTGTAGGCTTGCACGGGCACAGAGTCGGAAATCCTCCCGTAAGGTTTCTGGCCGTGTCGCGCACGTTGGGACGCCCAGTTTCCAAAGAGCGAGCCTGAGGCTTTAGATCTGGAAGAAGCTTTCAGCTTGAGCTTGAGCGTCAGCTGTGCTCTGAACTACACGTTTTTGCATCATAGTTTCGCTGCTAGAGCTTGAGCGCAGGATTTTTCGCGTCCGAGCCGAACGTGGCTTTGTGAACGTCCAGGGAGGCGCGAAGCGCGCGGCGTCAGCCACCACCACGACGACTGAGCCACAGTACCCGTTGCATTGCAGTGTTTTTGCGCTGCAGCTGTTGCTCTGCGCTGCAGTTGTTCTGCGCCGCCTTGGCATCGCTCGGACGTGTGCGTTTTTTCCTTCGGCGAGGACCATCGAGGAGCATTTGGCGAAAACAACACGCACGAAGCCGAACAAAGCACAGGGAATGGACGTCCGAGCGATGGCCAATTGTTGTATTGCAGTGTTGTTGCATTGCAACTGTTGTGCTGCGCTGCATTTGTTTTGTGCCGCAGTTTCGCTGCCAGGGCCGGGTCTCAGGATTTCGCGTGTGAGCCGAGCCTAGTTTTGGGACGTCCAGGGAGGCGCGACAGCGCGCAGCGCCAACCGCCACGACTGAAAAGACAGTTGTTTCATTGCAGTGTTTGTTGCGTTGCAGTTGTGTCTGCATTGCATTTTGTTTGCGCGATGTAGTTTCGCTGATACAGAGCTTGGGTTTAGGATTTCGCGTGCGAGTCGCACATGTTGTGGGGACGTCCAGGTCTCTGGGTCTGGCTGGTCTGGTGTTGGATTCCTTGCTATTGTTGGTGCTGGTCTGACTTGTCTGGTCTGGTCTGTGTGCGGCTGTTCTGCTTGGCACGGTTCGTCGGGCAAGGTTGGGTTAGAATGTTTTCTTCCATATGTGGATGGTTTTATTGTAGGTTTGCTCAGTCTGGTGCGGTTGGTCCGCTTGGTCGATTTGGTTTGGTTGGTCTGGCGAACAGATTTCTTTCGGATCCGATCCCAGTTAGATGGTCTCATCGGTTTGGTCGCGCAGGTCCCTCCTATCCGGATAACTCGCTTGGTTTGGTTTGGTCTGTTTCGTTGGGTTGGTTTTGGTTGGTTGGTTGGTCTGGTCGGCTTGGTGTGGTCAGGTGTGATCTGATTGCTCTGGTCTGATATTGCTGGTCTGACATTACGTTCCGCGCTCTTACTAGTACTGGTCTGGCTACTCTGGTCTGGTCTGTGAGTGGCTGTTGTGGTTCGCATGATCCGTGTCGCTGATCTGCTTGGCATGGTCAGTTTGAGGTGGGTGCTCCGATATCTGGTTGGTCTGTTTGGTTGGTCTTCTTGGTCTGGCGTGAATGAGCCACTTGCCCTGGTAGGTCTGGTCGGCATGGTATTTCCAGATCCGCTCCAGATTAGATGTTCTCAGCGGTTTGTGTTGTGCAAGTTTCTTCTTCTTTGGTATATTCAGTTGACTTGTTTTGTTCGGTTTACCAGGCTGGCCTTTGTTGCTTGGTTTGCAGTATTTTATATGGCCTGGTCTGCTCTGACTGATCGAGTTGCATATCTGGCAGGTCTGGTCTCATGTTGGTCTGGCTTGCCTGGTCACTTGATTTGTTTTGGTTGGTGGTCGATTGGTTCTGGTCAAACTAGTTTCGATGACTTTCCCTGGCCTGCCTGTTGTGCCAGATTTGGACGAGGAGCAGCAGCAGGAGCAACAGCGGGGGCAACATCTGCGCGCGGAGGGAGAGAAATCCGAGGAGAATCGGGCTGCGGAAAAGGAGTGAATATTGCTTCAGCAGCCATATTTGTTCTAAGGCCCCAGCGCAACATAAATTTTCGCCTCCAGCGGCTCAGAGCAGGTACGTTGTTTTGCAAGGTGGTCTCCGTCCCCCCTGATGCCCGACGCGGTCGCTACGGCGTAGTTAGTGGCATCGCTCGGACGTGTGCATCTTCTGCAGGCGAGAACTATAGAGGAGTAACCTGAATCAGCGAGCAATAAACGCGCACAAAACCAGAAAAATGTACGGAGAATGGACGTCCGAGCGATGACGAGAGTTGCCCCCCCCCCCCATGCAGAAAAGGGGTCAGGAATAAAGTGAAAGGGTCAGTGGGTGGTGCAGACGCATGCGAGAAGAGGGGCTCGGTACGAGGAGGAACATGATAACCGCCTGCCCCGGATATTAAACCATGCGCCCCTACATATACAGATTTGGTCAGGGAAGAGGGGCGGCACGGCCGAATTCGATTATCGTGGGGGGGAAGTTGCGAATCAAAGTTCTTATGTTGAGTAGCAAGGATTTCCTCAGGTTTCCAATGGATTGCTTGGGATTCCTTCGGAATATTATGCATTTCCTTGGAAATGCTATTGATGTGTTCGAACCCTGTGATTTCCTAAGACATCCTGTTTCTCCTCCTCCTTGCACCTCCCGCCCCGAGCTCTTTAATTACGACTGTTTTTTTTTATCACCGCGAACGAGCCGACATGGACTCCTTCCTACACATGCGACGCTGAAAACGATAACACGAATAGAGCTTTCCACCAAATAAAAAACCTAAGGTCCCGAATCTATTTGTTTGGAAAACTGGTCCTGGGGCTCCTCCTCCTCCTCCTCCTCCTCCTATGGATTTCCTAAGGGATGCGAAGCCTATCCTAAGGACTCCTACGGATTTCTGAAAGATTTCTATACAGCAGCCAGGATCAGCTTTATCACCATCAGCGTCGTCCACCCATCTTCATCATCATAGTTTATTTCCCCCCCTGGACCCCGATTTTGTTAGTCCCAGGGGATCATTATCAGGAGCATAGGGTTACCAGGACGGGGAGGAGGAGGAGGTGGAGGAGGAGTATGAGGCTCCGTCGAAATTCTGGCTCAAGGCAATATGCAGAATTCATCTTCTGCACTCGGGGCCGCCAGGCAGGCCTCAGCCCGCCGGCCGCCGACGCGCGATGGCGGCACGGGGGGCTCAAACAGCCAGGGGAGCGAAATGAACGCTGCGGGCCTTGTGGGGCGTTAGGCCGCTGCGAGCTGCGGCACGCAGGATTCACTACAAGATGCGTCTGGGCCTGAACGAGATGGTGGCCGCCATGATGGTCGTAAAGTACAAACCAAGTACGACAACAAGGACGACAGGAAGCACAGGTACGACTCCAAGTACGGCAAGAAAAGGAAAGTGTTGTACGAGACCACGCGCGGGATAATATCACTGCAAAGAATACACAATGTTATACGAAGAGGCAACAGCGAGTACAGCGAATTATTAGATGCTACACGAGAGCACGCAAAGGACAGGCGCTCTTCGAGAGCACATTGCGCGTACATATCAGCAGATTTTGTAAGTAGTCGTGCAGGTTCCGCAGCAATTCCCCCCGACGCCCCCCCACGACGGCCGCGGCCACCGCGACGGCTTCGAGGACTGGCTCCCCACTGGCGCCCAAACCACAGGCGCGAAGCTAAGAGGCCAGTGGCCACCGTGGCAACTCCAACCAGAGTCGGCACCGCCCACCAACCACCGGAACGCGCCTACTTCATCGCAAGTGTAGCTTCTCCCGGACCTCGAGAGGCCCTTTTTTCCCCCGTCCGCCTTCCTACTTCAAGCTTCGGCTTGGGCCCTTCTCGTTTTCCCCCTTTCGGCCATGCGCCTTCCTGCCTTCGTCTTCCCCCGCGCCGCCGGGTGCCACAGCGCTTACACATCAGATGTTTCACCCCCCCTTCAAGGGCAACGGCCCCTGGGGGAGGGGGGGCAGCAGCTGACGGAACCTCTTGCCACCATTTCCAAGGTGGAGGTTCATGAGGAGGAAGAGGAGGAGAAGGAAGAGGAGGCGGAGGAGGAAGAGGGGGAGGGCAGTGCGGAGGAGGAGGAGGGGGAGGAGGAGGAGGAGGAGGAGGAGGAGGAGGATGAGGAGGAGGAGGAGGAGGAGGGGGAAGGAACCGTATGCTTGGAAGTGGCATTGCCACGGTTCAGAAAGGACAGGGGGCGATGGAGTGTTGGGGAGAGTGCCGGGCCGCCTGTGGCATCGAGAGGACCAGGCGGGGCGGGGAGGGCGGGGAGGAGAGAATGGATCGGGAGGGACACGGGGGAGGGCTGGGATGACGAGGGCGTGGCAAAGGAGGAACGCGACGAGGACTATAATGTTCCAACCTACTTCAGAAAGAATTTCGAGCGCCAGAATGATACCCCAAAATTCGAGGGTTTTCACGTGCCGGGCCCTGGGAGACACTCTTTCGACACTCTTTCGACACTCTTTCGACACTTCTGTGTGCTCGAAATTATTTAATCGTTTCGTTCATTCTGCCGGCCCATGTAGCCTCATCCCTGCTGTTTGCCCGAGGGATCGTTGTCAGGCGTTTGTGGGGTTTTCTTGTAAGGCGAATCTTTTCTCCGAGCATGATGGCTACAAATGCTGGCAGGAAACAGCCGTCAGCAAATGTTCCCATCCACTCGCACATTTACATGTTGCATCCCTGCCATTGAGCTTGTTGTGACGTCCAGCTTGTTGTGACGTTCAGCGGACAACATCGTCAAGGGCGGCCATGGTCCGAGTCCAAACCACCATTTTCGCGGTAAGGCTGCGTCCTTTCAAGCCCAGTTGAGCATTGCTCTGGAGAGAAATTCGAGGGGATGAAGAGGAGGAGGAGGAGGAGGAGGAGGAGGAGGAGGA